AACGAAATCTATATGGAATTGGTTAGAGGCATAGCTTATCATCTAATTATTTTCTTTCTACCCAGACATCCAATTTTGGAACAAAAATAAATCTATGGAAGGACTCTCTGCAAAGACTGTTGTTGTGAGCTTTATTTGTCAGCTTATTATTTTCCTTTATCTGCTTGACAACGACACCTCTTGGATGATTCTTGCAAGCTCTGGAATTGGTTGCATTATTGAGTTCTGGAAAATTGGAAAAGCCATGCGCATAGAGGTATTGTTCGTGATCTTCTAGCTTATTTTTTGCCCTGTATATATGAACATATTTGATAGGTGTGCATTTTGAATCTTTGATATAAAAATTAGCATGGTTCAAGAGGCAATGATTGCTGTTACCGGCTTTACAAGCTTTCGCCCCTTTATTGTCATGTATACCAGTACAGCATGCGAGTGCATGTGTTACTGACATTATGAGTTTCACCCCTTTATTGTCATGTGTCGTGTATACCGGTACTACATGTGCGTGTGCGGGTGGGTGTGTGGATGCGTGCATGCACTATGTGGGTGCAGGTGCTGAACCTACCTTATGCTGAAATTTCGTTTTTTTAATTAGAAGAATGGGAGGGCAAGGATTGAATTCTGGACCACTTTGATCATAGAGATTCTAATATCATGTTATGAACCAACTCTCCTCAAAGATTAAGTTATTAGGTGAAGACACGTGAATTTTTAGAGCACTTTGGTCATAGAGGCTCTAAAATCATGTTGTGAACCAACTTCACCCTAAGTTTAAGCTATTAGGTGAACACACATGAATGGCTTTATAATATATCCCTAATGCTGCAAATTATTTTTTTCCCAGATTGATAGGACAGGGAGGATACCTATGTTGAGGCTCCGAGATCGAGAGTCATATGTAAAGAATAAGACAAAGGAATATGATGATATTGCAATGAAGTTTTTGTCCTATGTTCTATTTCTCCTTGTTGCTGGCTTCGCTGTTTACTCACTGAAGTATGAGCGTCACAAGAGCTGGTATTCTTGGATTCTGTCTTCACTCACAAGTTGTGTATACATGTTTGGTAAGCACTCTTCTAATTTGGTTTATCATTGTGTTTTGGGGGGATGCTATCATTTATGACCATGACTATTAAAATTGATTAATTTAAACAGAAGTGCCTAGACTCCAATAAATTTGGTAGGATTAAGTTCCTAACTGTTGCAGTTCATGCATCCCGAGCAAGATTGTCCTGGATCGGGATGAACCTTTTTCCCCATCGGTGTTAATTACACGTGCTGCTGATATAGCGGAGTCTTATAAATTAATTGAGTTAAACCTTAAAGCAAAGAGTTTTTATACATTTGTTTGAATAGATGAGGATTTTTTACTCTCTTTTTTTAATTTGGGAGTTGAATAACCAAAGTGAACATCCCTTATCCTGCTGTAAGCATGATTAATTCTCTCTATAGGAAACGTAAATTAGAAAAAATATCTGAATTTTTCTTATTATTTATTTTGGTGTTGTATTTGGGCCAAAATAGAATAAATATGAAATTCACTTGTAGCAAATCAACAATGTTTGCTACTTTCCTTGGCAGCATTTTTTATCATTTTTGTTAAAAAAGATCAATGTCTTCTTAGTTATTACCCCCCCACCCCCCCCCCCCCCCCCCCAACACACACACACACACCCCCCTCCCCTCCTTTTCTACTTATAAAAAACCACAAAAAAAAATCACTTCCCATTAAACCCGACCACCAAAAAAAATCACTCCCCGTTAAACCCGACTAGCGAGTGTGGGGTGGAGGATATCCTTGTACGCAGACTCCTCGTTAAACCTGACTAGCGAGTGTGGGGTGAAAGATATCCTTGTACGCAGCCTTACCCTTGCATAATTGCAAAGAGGCTGTTTCCTGAATTCGAACTCACGACCTTTTAGTCATGAAACAACAGTTTTATCACTGTTCCGATTCGCCCTCTTTTTCCTTTTCTACTTATAGAAAGGAAAAAAAAAAACTCTTTTTCGTAACAGATATTTGACCAATTTTAACATAGATGTTTCTGATCATTAAGTTTGTAATGTTTGTACTCTTTATACTGGAAAACTGTCGCAGGTTTTATTATGATGTGTCCTCAACTGTTCATCAACTACAAGCTTAAATCTGTTGCTCATCTACCTTGGAGGCAGATGACTTACAAGTTTCTCAACACCATTATTGATGATCTTTTTGCCTTTGTCATTAAAATGCCAACACTACATCGGCTTTCTGTCTTCCGTGATGGTAAGATTGGGATCATGACCACATGCTTTTGGGCAACTGCTTTATATACTAAGGGTAGCCTCATTTTAAGATTAATAAGCTTGTAATGCATGAAATGTTGTCTCTTCTTCTTCTTCTAACAAAGGAGGTGCTAAGACCTGATGAGGGGAGGAGGAAAGGTGGGTTAATTGTGAGTAAAATAAATGTGGATAGAACAAAAAGCCATTGACATTTGAATTTTTTATTGTAGCAGCCTCACTAGTCTCTTTCTTTTATAATTATTTATATAATGGAATTTTGAATCCCAACCTACCTGAGAGCTAATAAACTTCGCATTTGAACTTCACGGTTGTGTGGTTGTATCAAGATGAAGGTTAAATTTTTTTACAATTTGCATGCACTCATTTATGATACAATTTGCACGCACTATGCAAGCATCAGTTCGTCAAATGGCCTTTATCGTTGTCTTAATTTCTTTTGTCCTTTCCTGCCTCGCAGATCTTATCTTTCTCATATATGTATACCAGAGATGGATTTATCCAGTGGACAAGAAACGTGTGAACGAATTTGGTTTTGGAGGTGAAGATGATCAGGTTGTAGATTCTGCAGAGACGGATGCTGCAAAAGAAGAAGAGAAGAAAACTAATTGATTTGGTTTTCTCTCAACCACTTCGAGAGAATTTTACAGTAGACACTAAACACTGTAGAATTCAGTAGGGATTATTTTGTTTTTCTCCCCTTTTGTTATACATTTGCTATTAGGTTTTTTGTTTAAAAAAAAAAAAAAGGGCTTTAGTTTGGCCTTGCCTCCAGGAAGTTTTACTAGGAGCCAAGGATAGGGTATCTGATTACTGGGAGGTTGACGGTGATGGTCATACAGCTTTCTAGTTTCCTTGTTTTGTGTATTAGAATGCCCTCTCTATAGTTTCCTTTATTATCAAATGCCCATTTTATGTATTTTTTCCACTACTAATGTATTTCTAACTAATTTATCCTTGGTCGTAATTTATTTATATTGTAATTTGTTTTGAACACTTTTTTTAACATTTCAAATTAAACTTTTACAGTTACACCAGCCCAATCTTCCACAATCCCCGCTACGCTATCATTGACTGTCATTAGGCAATTTGGAAGAGAGTAATGTGCCTACGATTAAAACACGATTTGGGACATCAAATAGGTTGTTCTTATAGATCTACTTAGAATTGTAAGGTCGTGGACCGGTTGTGTTGTGTCTTAGGGGTGACAAGCTTTTGTTTTTTAATATTGATATATATGTAGCCAAAACGATTGTCTAGAGATAATATGAATCATTGAATAAAACAATTGGATCGGCTCATGATTAGTTTAATTGTTTTTTAAAGGTTAGTTTAATTGTTTTATTCAATGATTGTCTAGTTTAATTGTTTTTTAAAGGTTAGTTTAATTGTTTTATTCAATGATTGTCTAGTTTAATTGTTTTTTAAACCGTGGATATACTCAAATTGGATCGGCTCATGCTCAGATTAACCTAGTTTAGAATTTGTAAATGTTCAGCACCAAGACTTAAGTCGATGATTCAATAAAAAAAATAAAATTAATAGTAGCCATAATTAATTAGACACAACAAAAGTAGAATTGAAAAAAAAAATTGTATTGGAAAAAAAACCGTGTTAAAAAATTCAAAAAATAAATTGTATTGGATTGGTTCCTAAATTTAAATTTAGAAACCAATCGAATCGAAATAGAATTGAAGTTATATATTTTCTTAAAATAATATCTTTATGTAAAAAATATAGTATTTATTTTAAAAAATTATTATATCTTAAATTAAATTAAATTCTCCCTTTTTACTCCACACATATATTATAAAATAGTAGCTATATTTAGAATTTAAATTTTTATTTTGATATATTTTGGTGAATTAATTTATATTTATATTAATATATTATTTCTATGTGCTCATGAATTTGACAAATTAATATATTGAAAATTTTCAAAAAAAATTAAAAACCGATCAAATTCAAATTCAAATCCAAATTAAATTATATTGAATTTATTATATATAGATGATATTATAAAATAAAAATGGTTTGGTGCTACTTGTAACGTTTGACCGCTTCAAGAATCAATTATCCCCACATACTAACACGAGACTTTTCAGTGTGTTTTTTTCTCACTTGCACGCTTCCCGGGAAAACTTCTCAGGAGATCACCCATCACAGAAATTGCCCCAAGTCAAGCACGCTTAACTATGGAGTTCTTCCATTCCGATTATCGAAAAGTAGATGCATCTAGTTAGTATAGGTAGTACCAATTAATTATTATAAGCTATCTCAAACTGTGCAGTCTCATACTTGCACAGTCTTTGGAATCTATCTCTTTCGGGTGTCGGTTCGATTCATTCGTTCATGTAACCCCCGCTGGAAACCTGTCAGAAGTCGCTCCTTATCCATGCCCTTTCGCACCGGCGATCACTCCCCGCTCTCGTCAGCACTATCAATATTTATAAAATAAGCTTAAGTAAAAAGTAATATTTTAACTTTTTTTAAAAGTTAGGAATCTTGGCTAAAAAAAAATTGTTTTATTTTTATTTATTTTTTTAAATTCTATTCAAATACACACATAAAGTCAAAATATTCTTATTAAAAAAATAAATTATTAAAGGCAAAAAAAACAGCGCAAACGGAGTAAATCTAAGAAAAAAATGTTTATTTAAATGACATAAGTAAAAAGAATTATAGTCACCAATATAAAAGTTGGTGGTTTGGTTTGAGTGAGGGATTAAAAAGTTGAAACTTGAAAGTCAAAGAAATAAACTAAAAATGGCAAAGTCGTCGTCATCAATCACAGAAGGAAGAAAAATGGAGTTGGAATCTGTGAAGAGGTACTTAGAGAAAGGATGCCAAAACGCATCTACTAAGACGACGCCGTTCGATGGAATGCCTTCCAGATTCTTGGAACCCTTAATCTTGAATGGCCTCCGCGTCGATCTCATCGAACCTGGCCGTGTCCTCTGTTCCATGAAGATAACACCACGTTTACTCGTTCGTTCCTACTCTTTCTATATATATATAATTAATTAATGGTTAATTAACTTTGATTATGTGTTTTTTTTTTTTTTTCCTTCACTCCTAGAATTCCGGAAATTCCTTGCACGGTGGTGCCACCGCTACGCTGGTGGATCTGGTTGGGGCAGCCGCGATTCCCTCTGCCGGATATTCACCCAATTCTGGAGTTTCCGTCGAGATCAACGTCTCATACTTGGATGCTGTCTCCGTCGATGTCAGTATCGATCTTCTTATTTTGAATGGAGGCATTTATTACCTTGTATTAAATATTATTTTAAAAAAGGAAGTATTAATTTTTTATTTTTTTAAAATTATCAAAACATCAAATATATTTATTTTAAGAAAAATGTTTTTCTCATTTTACATGAAAAATATTATCTCATGTGATACACATATCGAAATCCGAACCAACATTTTTTTTTTCTTTTCTTTTAACTGTGGGATCCACTTAATTATGTCTCTACATAAGACAATGTTATCTCATGTAACATCAGAAAAGCATTGCCCCTCCCTTATTTTAATAATGCCTGGTGATTTTTTTTACTACACTGCCACCTTCAACTTTTGACATGGTGCATGTCAAGTATTATTGATATCAAATTTGTAGTTTTGAGTAGTTGGAAATTGTTCTGGATAGCCCAATCGATTAGCTCAACAGGGCAGTCTCGCCCCAAATAATCAACCCACGTCAATTTTATTGGCCCTTGCATGCCAACACTGCTATCATTGTTCCATGTAACAAATTCTACAATGTAAGACACCGGAATGTCTTACATTGGCATGCAACCTTCCTTTGGTAGCGTACCAGACCCCCAAAATGGATATCCCTTTGCACAGCTATTACATCAGCGACTGTTACCAGCATAACAGGGGTTGCAAAGTGCATTGCCACAGTAAGGCATGGTACTTTTGGCTTTTTCCTAGGAGAGTTGACTTGGCTCACCTTCTCGTACAGGCAAGACATTATCTCCTCTATAAATATCCCTATTCTCACCCAACGTATGGCATCTTCAACATATATGTCGTTATCTTGCCTCACATAGCCATTGTAGCCCTTCTCACCCCCCCATACCACACCTGAGACTTCATTGTTAAGCTGGGTGACGTTGATACCCTTATAGTAACCACTACACCCTATCAGGGTTATAAATTGGGCTCGCAGCCCCACTAATGGTACAAAAATTATTTTGCTAGTTTCTAGGATTGTATTTGTTCTGTCTTAGAGACAAATATGTCTAGCCCAATAAAGTTAATATGTTGCTTTTGGATCTAGGTGCCCTCTCTAAAGTATTTATGGATTAGATATCCTTGAGTCAAGTAGGTCACTGCGCACAGAGGAACAATAAACTGTTTTGCCAAAGGGGTGTTGTGTGTGTATAGTGACAGTATAACAGTAAAAGAGAGAGTGTGTATACCTGTAGGTTTTACCTCTTATTTATAGAGTTTACCTATGAGTATTGAGTGCTGGACCTTCAGTGCTATTGTGAAGGGCCTAAGCCTATATATTATGCTGTTGTATTAGGATTGGTATCTTTGATTTGATACCTTTCCTTAATTGTAATTGATTTATATTTGGATTGCCCTTTGTTGAGTTTATCAATATATGGGTCTCATATATAAGTCCATAACAATATTTGGGCAAAGCAAGGTGTTATAGCATAATATTTAACTAATTATTAATATAGTGAGACAGTGAGTTCTACACTCGAGATCACTTGATCATAAAAGTTATGATATCATTTGAAAAATTATTTTAATCCAAAAATTTAAAATATTAAGTGAAGGGCGTGTTAATAATTGTATATCCTAATTTGTGTAATAGGAGGAGATTGAGATTGATGCAAGGGCTCTAAGGGTAGGAAAAGCAGTAGCAGTTGTAAGCGTGGAATTGAGGAAGAAAAAGACTGGGAAAATATTTGCTCAGGGGCGCCATACCAAATATCTTGCCGTTCCCAGTAAAATGTGAAGATCAACAAAACAAGTATGCCACTTAAAGTAAGTGGTTCAATGTGACCTCATCTTCTTGCAATTGGTTGGCAATTACCAAATATATCCAGATTTCACTTCTGATTAAGTTTCCTACATGGTTCCGCGGTTGTTACATGTGTGATGTTCCCTCTCACATTCGGGAGAGAAGAAGATTTCAACAAAAGTATAGGGAACCTAGAGAAATCATGTTACTTTTACTTTTCTTATTTTTGTCTTTTTCTTTTCTAAACATCAGAAGAGGATTTATGTAAGTTCCAATTATTATTATTATTATTTTTTCTTAATAAAAGTTTACAGAGAAACGTGTTTGTGCATTTTTATTTTTATTTTTTTGGTCGATTGTGGGGCCAAGAGGCCCAAGAAGCAAAAGTTACATTAAATTCCCAGATGCCAATCGTATTCTAAGCCTTTGAGGAAACTGCTCCATCATAGTTCAACTTTAGCCATCCTGGCTCTGGTGGAATCCAATGTTGTTCCTCTCATTCACTACGTTAGGCATATCCCCAAGAAGATAGGAGCCTCATCCCTTCGATTCTTGAGGGATATGTGAGCTGACTATTTTGCTCATCCAGGGTAATATGGCATGCTTCAGGGGTCCAAAGACATCAAATGCCTTCGGAGAACCCCCACAGCATCTTCCATAATATAATGAGAAAAACCCAAGCTTGGTTGCCCGGGTGCCACTCACAACTATCTGAGCTTTAGGCTTCTGGACCAAGCTTGACAGCGTTCCACGAAAGTGCTTTTTGGCTACACCCTGACAATTCCAAATGATTAGGTTCATTGGGCAAGGTTTACGGGCACTCGCCTCCCCATTATTGCACTCTGTGTCCAACATGCTCTCCTCTAGTACCTCATATTCGCTGACTGTGGAGCTTTTATGTGGATTATTTCACCATCCATCTTGTGCATTTCAAAGTCCAAAATATTGTGTGTTCCATAATCACATAGTACTTGTTATTTCTTTTATCAAATATAGTAAAAAATAATATTTGTAAACTATATTTTTTTCTATCCATATTCCATATTTTTTTTTTTTTTTTTGGACAAAAAGTATGTACTGCTTGCTCGAGCACAGAAAATAAGCTCAGTTTCTGTTGTTGAAGACAGTGGGTGATATTATATCACTAAAAGATTGAACCCATGTATAGAACCAGAGGAGGTAGATGATCAGAATTATCACTGTGCAATTATAAATATTAAAATTAGAGAACTGACTTACTTGAAATCAGATGATGATGCAAGCAGAATGATGAAATCAGATAGAATGATATGTCAGAAGTAGAGGAATTAAATCCGAGCCCACAGAACGTGTCTCCTTAAGACAATTTGCCCCCTCACTGATGCCTAAGGTTGATGGACACTTGTCTCCCAGGATAGAACGGATTACGTCTGAAGAATGGTGGCACTATCAATCAACAGCCCAAACGAACACAACAATTGCCAGAAGAAATCACACCGGAGGATGAACAACAGTATGCAAAACCGGAAGGAGAAAAATTCCGGCAGAGTTTAAGTGCAGAAAAAACTAGATAAATTTCTGAAGGTGTCAGTGTCTATTTATAACCGGTCACGATGAACAGTCGCCGGCGGCGAACCGCCGTGTCTACTGCTCAAAAAATCCGGTGGGTACGCGTGTGTGTGGTGAACCAATGCTCACCTAGCTCCTCCCCCTACATAAAACATGTAGTGACCCAAGGGCCAATCTAAGAGAGGGAAGTGGGAGCTTATATACTCTCCCACTTCTTACTAATTGTCCAATGTGGGACTTGTTGAAACCCACACACCTCTTCATCTTCCCTTTTCTCTTTTCTTTATTAACCCACTTCTTATTCATAACCAATGGATCATTGTACATTAATTCATTCATTAATTCCAACAGTTTCTACTTATTAAATAAAGAAGTCATATCTTCTCCAAATCAGTTTCTACTTTTTAATTTTCTCTCTTTTGTTATATATATATATATATATATATATGGGAAAAATGTTTGTCATTTTAAATGATATAAAGTTATGTCATCTTAAGAGAGAGATAGACACAACATAATTTTTTTATTTAAAATTTAAATTAAAAAAAAATCACTCACTTTCTCTCTCCTGTGATTTCTATTTTTTGTGTCTATCTCTCTTCTAAAATGACATAACTTATGTCATTTTAAATGACAAACACCAAACTCATATATATATATATATATATATATATATATATATATATATATATATATATATAATGTCAATGGTGCGGTCAAAAAATTATAACTATGTATTACGAGTAGTACATAATTATAATATTAAAGTTTTTTTTAGAAATATAATTATATATTAGCAGTAGTACATAGTTATAATATTAAAGTTAATTTTTTTCTCCTACGTCACCGGACAAGACTTTGAAAAATTAATGAAAAAAGAAAAAAAAAACAGGTTTAATATCATAATTATGTACTACTCGTAGTACATAGTTATATTTAAAAAAAAAGTAATTTTAATATTATAATTATGTATTATCCGTAGTACATAGTTATAATTTTTTTACCGCACCAACCATTACATACTTGTTAATTACACTACAAATGACAACCATTGATTTTCATCCATCAACAGTTGAGATGCAAAGTGTAAGACTTCTAAGTCTTACTCTGGAGTCAAAAGTACACACACACACACACACACAGAGAGAGAGAGAGTAGAATCATTTGACACCTCAACTGAGAGCCATTAGATCAAAAAAGATCAATGGTGTCACATGCTTACAAATCAGATTCGTTAATCTTTTTTGATCTAATGGCTCTCAGATGAGGTGTCAAATTTCAAATTTGACACTGAGGTCGAAGGATCTACCTATATATATATATATATATATATATATATATATATATATATATATATAAGGAAATCTCAAGTTGCTTGAGATATATTTGTCTTCGGTCAGCTCAAGACTACGTCATTTTGTTTATTTATTTCTTTATGTTAATTGATTCACGTGTGAATGGTTATGATTTTCATTTTTTCTCTATTCCTTTATCATCATTGATCCATCTTTGTACGGTTATGATTTAGTGACCGGATATAAAGTTATCTTAAACAACTTCAGAAACGATAACCTCATATATATATATATATATATATATATATATATATATATATATATATATATGAGTTCGTTTTTTCTGCAGTTACTGCATATAGGTTATCTGCAATAAGCCCAATACGACGTTGTTTTAGAGCGAAAATCATGGTGTTTTTGTAATTTTAATTTATTTCAGGGTTATTATAGTCTTTATAATTATAATTTTCTAATCTCTCTATTCCGGTGATCTCCACCATTGTGCTGGTTCTTCTCTCCCCACCCTTAATTTGTCTTGCCGCCGCCTCTCTTCCGTTATTTTCTATTAGGTAAGGGAGATCCTTTCACATACTATTGTAGGTGCATGAGAAGGACACGAATGACCTGAGTTTAATGATATAACTTTTCATTAACTTTATTAGAATATATATTTTATACTTTGATAGTTTGATACTATGATTAGCTTGTGAATATTGACTTGTGGATGTAATTGATTGAATTATCTTAAGTATATTTTGAATCTTTAATGATTGGTGCTTTGATTTTTTTTTTTCATATAGGATATATATTTATATTTTTTTAATATATAAAATCGGGTAAGCAAAGTGACCCCGTGACCCCTAACTTCGGCTGAGTCGATGGCCGAGCCGGGTTTTTAAATGTTATATATATATATGGCTTTAATATTTCTACAGTGAATGTAGATAAGTTATAGACATTCGCTCCTAAAATGACGTCGTTTTGGCCTTAATGTAGATAAGTTATCTACATTGACTGTAGAAAAAATGAACCCTATATATATGGGTAAAGTATTTCTTCAGTCAATAGAGATAAGTTATCTCCGGTGAGCTGTTTTGAGCTCGAAATTAAGGTGTTTTTGTAATTCTAATATATTGTAGGGTTATATTAATCTTTATCATTATAATTTTTTAATCTTATAACCCAAAATGACATCGTTTTGAGCTCACTGGAGATAACTTTATCTCTAGTGATTGGAGAAATATTTTTCCATATATATATATATATATATATGATAATATGTCTTTTCTATAATAGGAGAGGCAAAATTTCTCCTGCAGATACACATTTATGTGGGGCTCACTAATAAAAGTGTTTGGCATCTTTTTTATGAGTCTGGAAGAGAAATTTTGTCCTTTTTGTTACTCGAGAGACATATTACCTCTATATATATTAAGGGAAATTCATGTAGTAAGAGAGAGTTATCTTATGTTATAGATACATCGATAAATGTGTATTGTTATTTATTTATTTTATTTTTTTAACATATGGTGAGATCCACCATATGTTGTGTCTATGACATGAGAGGAGTATCTCCTCCAACATGAGATTAGATGTTTCCATATATTAATTATACTTGCCAACACATTTTGGCATTCATGCAAGTTGTAATTACACAATGCAAGTTCTATTTAACATTATATCTTAGTAATTTAAATTTTCAATGTTTACTGATTTAATTTGTTATTCATATATTTTTATAAAATATTTAAACAGTAAAATTTTAATTCAATTCAAAAGTATAATTATATACGTAACTATTTATTTGCTACTAGCTAAAAAATTAAAATTTATCCTGTCCAAATAGCACATTACGGATGTGCTATGAGTGCATAAATGTTGGAGCTCTATGTAATATTATCTTCTTCTTTTTTATTGAATTACTTAGCTAAAAAATAACAATTTCAAAATTGTTTATCAATGTAAAGGACAAAATTGTCCAGCACTTAATAACATTTATTTACAAAATAACGTCATTTTGGGATTGAAATATTAGAAAATTATAATTACAAAGATTATAATAATCTTGAAATAAATTAAAATTACAAAAATACCATGATTTTCACTCCAAAACGACGTCATATTGAGCTTACTGGAGATAACTTATCTGCAGTAAATGCAGAAAAAGCAAACCCAAAGAAAAAAGCATTTCGAAAGAAAAATTACCACTAAAATAAATAATCAAAGTGAAACTAACTTAATTAAAGTAAGGTTTTAATGTCTGCACTGAATGTAGATAACTTATTTACATTCATTTTCAAAATGATCATTTTGGGTTGAGAAATTAAAAAATTATAATAAAAAGACTATTATAACCCTGAAATAAATTATAATTATAAAAAAAAATTTAATTTTTATTTCAAAACGATATCATTGTGAGCTCAATTATTTATATTACCTACAGGAAAAAACGAACCATAATAATACACCTTACTTATTTATGAATTTATTTTATTTCAGTCAAATTTTCCTTACTCGAATATTATTAGGTAGGAGTTTGGACTCGGTTACATATTACATTGACGAACGCATTTTTTAATAGATGCATTAGAATTAAAATGAAAAAGTAATTGTTATAAAAAAAAAAAAAAATGAAAAAGTAAGAAAGGAAGAATGAAAGAGAATATAAAAAAACAAAAATAAGGTGAGGTTTGGTTTAGAGAGAGGAAGTGAAAAAAAATGGAGCTGAATGCAGTGAAAAAATATTTAGAGAAAGGAGGAGAAACATCATCGTTGGTAGATGGATTGCCTCCGAGGTTCTTGGAACCCTTAATATTGAATGCCCTTAGCGTCGATCTCATCGAACCTGGGCGCGTCGTTTGTTCTATGAAGATACCACCTCGTTTACTCGTATAACTACTTTTTTTTTTTTTGCTCTTCCTTTTTAGCTTTCTTTAAGATTTTGATGAGTTTTTTTGTTTTGTTTTGCATAGAATTCTGGGAATTCGTTACACGGTGGTGCCACCGCTGCGTTGGTGGATGTGGTGGGGTCGGCTGCAATTCCCACCGTTGGATATTCAGCTCCCAATACGGGGGTTTCCGTTGAGATCAATGTTACATACTTGGATGCTGCTTATGTCGATGTATGTCACTTTTCTCTCTTTTTTTATTTTTTTTTTATTTTTGTTTCATTGTTTGTGAGTTTGTGATGGTTGTTTTCTTCTTTGTACTATGTTGAATTGGTTGTTTTATTTTATTTGTTACAAGAAGAGAAATGGATGGAGACAATTTATGGTTTTCTTCTCTATTTTTTCACAATCTCTATTGAACTACAAGTTGACTGGGTATCTAGTCAAGCAACAATTTTGAAAGTCAACTCTGGAAAGAAGAAAAATAAAGGATATGGGTTTTAGGACTTTGATGCTAAAATGTAGAGTTTTAGACCAAATTTGTTGCTGAAGTCGCTGTTTAAATTTAGATTTTGCCTTGGTACCTTAACTTTTCTTTTCATTATGATTTTAGAAAGAAGTATTGTTTTTTAATTGAACTTTATACGGAAGAACCTATTCAATTAAAAGGGCAACATGGTGTTTATAGTAGGCAGGGTTACCTTGCATTTTTGCAAGAAGCTAATTACATGAATCTAAACTATAACCTCCGGTCACATGGCAACAACACCAACCGTTGTGTCAAGGCTCTTCTACAAGAACCTATTCAGTGATGAACAAAAAAAATCACTTCTTTTTAAGGTTTGAGTAGGTTAGGGGGTGTCAGCTTTTTGTTCATCATATCCAATTGTGTATGTTGGAGGATTTTATTTGTTGACTCTCTCTTTAAACTATTGCAATGCCTGATAATTTGTCAGCACTGCTCCTTTCGAGTTTTGACATGATATATGTTCAGTATTGATGCCAATCTGATATCAAATATGCAATATAAGGAGTGGAATGTAGGAAATTCTTTTAATGGTTTCTGATTTTGGATTTTGTGCTTAATGCAAGATATCACTGCAATAGTTTTTTTCAAATGTTATGATAGGAGGAGATTGAGATCGAGGCCAGGGCTCTGCGTGTAGGGAAGGCTGTAGCTGTTATCAGCGTGGAATTCAAGAAGAAAAAGACTGGCAAAATTTTTGCACAGGGGCGTCATACCAAATATCTTGCCCTTACCAGTAAAATGTGAAAGGCACCAAATATGCACTGAAGTAAACGGGTTCAATGTTGGCTCACCTTAGTATCTGGCAAATATATCTAGATATCACTTTACCTCAGTTGTACATGTTGGATGTTACCTTGAATTTTCAGTAAGTTCATATTGATGTGCAGGGGCAGCTCCTCATTGTTAAATGAAGAAGCCATGGCCTCTTCAAAATTGTTCTCTACTTGTTGACTGAATGTTATATGTAGATTTGACCTCTACAAAATAATTTTTACTTAAACCTTTGTCTAATGGATTTATTTAAATATTGATTTTTGATAGAGCCTATGGTGTTGTCTGAAGCATTAAGCCAACCCTACATATCTAGTGAGATAAGGGTTGTTATTGTTGCTTTTGCACATTTATCTTTTGGCCTTCTCAATACTATTATTCTAACTCAGTGCCTGTTGAAGTGACTAGAAAAATATCAAACACTACACTCCTTGTTTGCACTTCAAACATCTCAAGGAGAAAAACAAAACATTTTGGACGATAGGTCTATTCATAAATGCAAATTTTAGTCACGCTACCGATAATGTTGAAAGTTGCCAAAGTTTTTCTTGTTCAAAATTTTTTCACCAAATAATTACTTTAGTTACAATAACTTAAGTGGATCCATTGCCTATTATTCCCAGAGCATCTATGAAATTGAGTGTGCTTCTCATGGTTCGCCTTCCGATCCCTCCATTGCCCTTTCTCATCATAGCAGCAAATTCCCCATAATCTATTTGTCCATCCTGCAACAAAAATCTCCTATTAATCTCAACAAACAAGTTGGCAACTGATGGAGCTGTAGTTCTTCAATGAAAGGCATAAAAATGCTAATGCTGGCATATAATCTTAAAAGATGAGTTGTAGAAACTTAAAATAGCAAGACAAAAGAATGCTTACGTTGTCTTGATCAATTTCCTTGACCATTTCATCAATATGGACATCATCCAAACCAAACTCCTTACAAGCTTGTTGTATCTCATCAATAGTTATGTAACCACTTCCATCTTTGTCAAAGTAGGAGAACGCTGACAACAGATTTTCCTCTCTCTCCAGCTTATTTAAGTGGACCGTAGCAGCAATGAATTCACCATAGTCAATTGTCCCATTATTATCAATATCTGCCTGTTACATGCAAGATTATAAGTCTTGTTCAACTGTTAAAAATTTAAAATTGGAAGGCACAGCAGCACAAATAACGAAAATAGATTGAACTTAAAAACATTAACATTTTATCTTACTGCATCCATAAGATCCTTGATTTCAGACTCCATAAGTTCAGATCCTACTCGCTTTAAGCCTTCTTTTAGCTCATCAAATGTTATAGTTCCACTATTGTCAGCATCAATCATCTTGAATAACTCTTTCAGACCACCAATTTCTTCCTCAGATAGCCTCTCTGCAATAACCTATGAGAAAGAATACAAAACTGTTAATGTCATGGTATCAGGATTTGACATGCAGAAGCCTACGAAATAGATCACTTCCCATTTTCCAGTCAAGACAAAGAGGTCCTGATAGTTCCAAACACAAGCAATAAAAAGGTTAAGCTAAAAAACTTAAAAAATTCTAATACTCACAAACTAAGATACATTGTTATGCCTTAAGTCAGGCCAAGGCTGTCACATTGGTCCAAAATTCAAAACTGAAATTCAGGATGTAGTTCATAACTGAGAACCAAAATTAATAAACAGAAATTCAAAAGCATGTGAATTAGGGGTTTGAATCCATATGAAAATATTCAGCAAACAATGAAAGGAATCAATGTAAAAGTAAAAATCAGCCTTCATGACAATGAAATTCATCAAACTGATGATGACAGCTGTTGAGAAAAGCATTTGGACACAATGTGGCTGTTCCAGTTCAACCGTATAGCTCTTCCTGGTTCTAATGCATGTATGATGCTCCTGGACTTTCTTTGATGATAAGGATGGTAAAGACTCGAGAGAGAGTTGATCTTTTTTTTTTTTTTTTTACAGCAATACAACATATGTATTAAAAAGTCACTAAACATATTTACTATAAAAAAAATTTAAGCTTTTGTGATAGGGTTTTGCATTTGTCATGTTGCATGACAAATGCAAAGTTTCCTACACATACATCGATTTTTGTGCTGCATTTTTTTCCTTTTCTTTTAATTTTAAACATGGTGGACCCTGCACTTATTGTCTCTATAGCATGACAAGAAAATTGTCCTACAACATGATACTTGTTTTTCCCTTTGTGATATTCCCATGGAAATGAATATTTAAAAACTTTGGGTCTAGTGAACAACCTGAGTTGCTGAAGTGAAACCAGAGTCCACTATACATGAAAAACATAAACACAATGGAAATCACATTCCTTTAACTTCAGGGTGGGTCTAGGATAGTCATCTTTCTTGGGAATCTAATGCCTAATGGAGCATATTGCATTCCTTCAGGCATAAAAGTTCTCATATACCAAACTAATATATCCCCTACAGCCATGTAAGACAATCAGGCATCTTGCTCAAAACATTAAAAAAAATAAAAAAAATCAAGAAGCTCTGTCATCAGTATTGTTGAAAGAAATAAAAATCCCGCTGCATTGTATTAACCTTTAGAATCAAGAAGCCTTTTATTAAGTCTTGCTAAAGAGAATGTACATGAAATTCATAAAAGCCTTCCAGTTTAGTAGGAAGCAACAATGTGCTATCAGTTTAGCCTAAATTTTACTTAAAATACATATAATTACCTTCTCATTCTAACAAGAAAACACAACTGGGTATTCATAAGAGATAAAATTGTTCTTTCATGCTCAGCATCTAAGCACACAGAAATCTTTAAGCCTAAGCTAAAAGGTTTACGGAAGTCTTACATGTAAAGCCATCTTTTTAAGTTTATTCATTGCAGAGAACTGCTTCAGGCGTGATAAAACAGCAGAATCAAGAGGTTTATCTGGTGCAATGTTGTCATCAACAATCCATGGGTGGCCTGACACAGAAAACCACATAAGTGCCACAGCCTTCAACCCCATTCCAATAATTGTTGAAGTATTCATACAAATCATGATACTTGCTCAGTATAAAATTTAAATAGACTTACAGAGTACTTTGTGAGCTGTAAGCCTTGTATTTGGATTTCGATCAAGCATTTTTTGAATTAGATCCTTTGCACTGTCTGAAATGCTAGGCCATGGTTCAAACTGGAAATCAAGTCTTCCAAGAAAAATCTGTCGGAAGATCCCTTGCTCAGTTTCTGTAGGAGACAAAGTTTGTATAACTGTATTAGTAATGAGGACGGATGAACATGAAGAAAACAGCAATATGCCTACATCCACAATTGATAATTTAACTTATAAATGACAGATAGCTACCAGCCCAAAATGGTGGCACCCCACTTAATAAGATGTACAAAATAACCCCAGCACTCCACACGTCTAATTCAGGTCCATAATGCTTGTGCAAGACCTCTGGTGCAACATAGTATGGGCTTCCAACAACGTCACAAAAGATTTCGCCTGAAAGGGATATCACTGTGTTAAGCATACATAGCATGGAAGGGTTTCCAGTTGATCTGGTAATGACTGAAAGATGGTGGAAAATTCAAACTGTAAATACAAGACTAGACTGCATAACTTGAGTGACTTAAACATTCATAATTTGAAGTCACCTAGATAAAGAGGTTTAAGTGCAAAATTACTTAAATATAGTGTGACCCATAGAAACTACTAAAATATAGATATAAAGGTGCCATATTATACCCAAAGGCACATATATAGTCATTTTCCAGACTTCAAACTTCTAGCAGTTAGAAGCCAAAAGTTCAAGTCTTTAGTCAAATTGCAAAGGACAGACCCATTTGAGCACCCTCTTCATTTCATATATTTTTTAAAGGGGGCGAACCGGAGCGGTGGTAAAACTGTTTTTTCATGACTGAAAGGTCATGGGTTCAAATCCAGGAAACAGCCTCTTTGCAATTATGCAAGAGTAAGGCTGCGTACAAGGATTGCTTTCACCCCACACTCGCTAGTCGGGTTTAACAGGGAGTGACTTTAGTGGTTTTATTGCCTGAGGGTGAGCTTGGAGCAGTGACAAAGTTGCTCCTTTGTGACTAAAAGGTCAAAAGTTGGAATCCGAAAAACAATCCCTATGCAAATTTGTAAGGGTAAGGCTGCATACAAAGATTGTCCTCAGTCTACCCTCCCTAATCGGGGTTTAATGAGGAGTATTTTTTTAATTTTTTTATGATAGCATATTTCCTTTCTGGCTTTATCTCCATTGAACCCAATAAACACAAGAAAATCAAATCTCAATATGTACATCTCTCAAAACAAAAAAGATTGTCATTTCAATTCAATCTATGAAACAAAAACAGGAAAATTGATTAGATTTTATTTTTTGGGAATAAACTATAATCTCTACCTAATAGGACAAGGAATTTTCAAGTCATTTACTGGGAAACACATTTATAAAATTCGTGAAACTTCATTTACAACATACATTACTATTCAAACCAACAATTGCAGCCTTTACAGAAAAGAATAATAAGCATTCTCGATTCTAAAATCATTTTATGGTAGTTATAAGTGAGTTTTGATGTAACAATAATATGTTAAAATGCAACTTCTCATACCTACCGAGAGTAAAAGAAGTATAGTATGTTTGTTATATAAAATCACTTACAAAGCACAAAACTAGAATTAGCTACCAGTTTGCATCTAAAGATGAATTCTGCTCCAGACTTAAAAATGCACGTAAAAGGTGCAAACCATCACTAAGCTGGAAGTAGGTCCAGATTAAAACAGTAACTCATGATCACTTAAGGCAAGATCAACAAATAGCAAAGAGTTAATTCAAAATCGGCTTAAAATGTTTATTTATGTTAAAATCAGATCACATTGTTAATGTCTACCATTTCATTTCCTGCTCAAATTTAACTAATTCATTGTTAATTCTTATATGCCTGCAGGAAGAAGATTCACACAGAATGCCAGGGTCCATTGCCCCATTTAATTGAGAGCATGAAGAAGTGCGGAAAGAAAAATCCAATTTTGGACCCCAGGTCCTGCATCATTCAGGAATTCTATATCAAATACAGTGGGGAGGCATATATTCTCTTTGAGATTCCATAGTCAGGGACCATGCCATGAATCTTGAATAACAAGTAGTATATATATATATATATCTTTCTCGAACTGATCACATTCCAATACACGTCATGAAAAAAATAAGTAACATAAGCAAACACAACCAATTGCTGAGCTAAACTCTGATTTTAATATTTCCCAAGATCCCCATTGCTCCCTTAAATCCATCTTTTGCACAAGGTCCAGGTTATAATCAATAAGAAAAAACACACTGGTTAAGAACTGAGCAACTGAGGCAATGATATCAGATTGATACAACCAACCCCCTCTCTTTTTCTTCTGAATAGAAATAAAAAAATAACACAACCAAAATCAATAATTTTACAAATGTAGAACTAAATAAACAAATCATGCATCCTGATCACGCATCACAGCATTCAAAAGATGACATGCCACCATCAATAAGTATATATTAAACTGAAAAATATCACATCATCAAAGAAATGAATTAAAAGAAGAAGAAAAAACCTGGCTTGTAAAAAACAGACAACCCAAAATCAATGGTTTTGAGTTTAGCATCCTCTTCAACAGTGTCAAACAAAAAGTTCTCAGGTTTAAGGTCTCTATGCATGACCCCAAGAGAATGACAAGCCTCAACAACCTCAACAATGGTCTTAATCAACTTTGCAGCTTGTCTCTCACTATAGTGCCCTTTCTGCACGATCCTATCGAATAACTCGCCACCTTCACAGAGTTCCATGACCAAGTGAACAAAAGATGAGTCCTCATAGGTGCCATGGATCCTCACAACATTAGGGTGCTCTGACAAGTGGTGCATTATCTGAACCTCTCTCCACACATCATCATAGTCCTCTTTGCAAAACAGCTTGCGCTTTGGGATTGACTTGCACGCAAAGTTGCGACCTGTGGTGTTGTGTGTGCACAAGTAGGTGGTGCCAAATTGACCCTGACCCAGTTTTCTGCCCAACGTGTAGAGTTCACTCAGGTTTTGGGTTCGATAAGGGAGAACCCACTTGGGTTTCGGTGATGAGGTGGTGCTGGTAGCGTTGGATTTCGACATTGTTAATGTTGTCTTTGGTTATAGCAATCTATGTCGGAACAATAAGAGAGAGACAGAGAGACAGAGAGAAAGAGTCAAGAGTGTGGAACAACTAGGACTAATGAAAGACGCGGTATTATAAGATCACTTCAAACTATGACCATGATGATGTCAGCAATAATGCAAATTGCAAAGCAAGTTTATCTTTTTCTTCTTTTCCCCATTTCTCTCTGTTTTTACCACTTTTTTTATGGACTTGTTGGAAATGGTCAAAATGGGAATGGGGTTCATAAATGGAATGTTTCGAAACCATAAAAAGTATTGTTGTTACTTTCGATTTTGAGTTGTTATTTTCTATGCTTTTAATTTTGAGTCTGGTTTATTGAATGATGCAGTACTGTATAATTTGACTGTTAGTGTAAAATGGATGTTTTACATTGAAAGTTGAAACCATTGATGAATCAAGAGTTTTATACTTTAATTTCGTATACTTTCTGTTTTCGAGTCATTTATTTTTATTTTTATTTTTAAAATTTATGGTTGAGTTTGAATAAGTTAATTGTTATTTAATTATTTAAACACTTCCATTTTTAATGATAATCCAATTAAGTGACTCAACTTTTATTCTTACCAATAAAAAGATTAAACTTTACTGAATAATTGTTTTATTCAACAACATCAACATCAACATCACATTTATTCCAAATTAATTAGGGTGGGTGGTAGATAAACTTATATGAAAGATACAAAACGGTTTAAAATAATAATAATAATAGTAATATATATATATATATATATATATATATATATATATATATATATATATATATATATATATATATATAAAGGTAAAAAAGAAAGGGGAAAAGAAGAAGTGGGGGAAATGAAGGGGAAAAGGACTAAAAAGAGACCATCTGCAACATAGGAATAACAACGGGTCTAACCCTCCACCATACTTATAGCTTTTCTCCATTCCGTTCTAAGACATACCGTCCGCCAATCTATATCTCACTCCATTAAATCTTGTTTTATGACCTTCCCCCAAGTCAGTTTCGGTCTACCTTTGCCTCTTTTTGTGTTGAGCTCTTGGTAACAAACTTCTGTTCTTACAGGAGCATCCAAGGGCCTTCTCATCACGTGTCCAAACCACCTCAATCTATGTTCTCTCATCTTCTCGGCTACCGGTACAACTCCTACCTTTCGTCGAATATCTTCATTTCTTATCTTATCCATCCTTGTATAACCACACATCCATCTTAACATCCTCATCTCTGCTACTCTCATCTTATGCTCATGTTGCCTATATGTTGGCCAGCATTCCGCTCCATATAGCATTGTCGGTCTTACTGCTGTTTTATAGAATTTTCATTTTAACTTAAAGGGGATTTTGCAGTCACACAAAAATCCAGATGCACTGCGCCATTTCATCCACCCTGTTCTGATTCTATAGACAAAAGCATTTTACCCAGCATATGAAAACAATTTTTAAAGAAATTAGCTAAACACCTTTCATGATGGAAATATAGCATGCGTGTGGCTTAAACATAGACCAATCCTAATAGCTTAAAACTCTTTGTTCTTGATTCCTACGTAAAGAGATGTCTTTTGTGTATTAATATTTTTCTTATTTATTTTTTTTGGTAAATATATTTTTCTTATTTTAATATGGGTTCATTTTTTCTAAAATTATTTTAGAAAAATTTGTCTAATGTTCTCCACAACGATATTATTTTGGAGCAAAAATCATGGTGTATTTGTAATTTTAATTTATTTCGAGATTATAATAATCTTTGTCATTCTAATTTTTTAATTTTTCAACTCTAGAACTACTTTGTTTTAGTGAATATTAGACAAAAAATTTTAAAGTAAATTTAGAAACTCTATTCCATATATATATATATATATATATATATATATATATATATATATATATATATATATATATAAAGAGAGAGAATGAGAAAAAAATATTTCTCCTTATATGAGATAAATATCTCTAACAACCCATATATATAAGGTTTAATGGTTCTCTTGTAAAATTGAAATAAAGTTCTCTCTTATGCAAACATAAGCAATTGGCACGGCTTTGCGAGGAAAAAAGAACGCGAAAAAATCTCATGAGTGAGATTTTAAGTATTATTAGAGTTATCAAGTACATTATATAAAAGTATTAAAAATTTAACCTATCTTAAAAGATTAAAAGTGGATTTATCGGAGAGAATTTTTTTAAAATGTATGCATCAAAAGTACTAAATTAAAAATCTTTTGAGAATAAAAAGCAAGGTAGTTAAAATCGCGATTTTACCTAAAATCGGAAGGAGAATGAAAAATCATAAATCGTAATACAAATCGCAAATTTTACCTGCGCTATAAAATTAAATTTTTATATACATATGCATATGTATAAAAAAATTAAGAAAAATAGATTACCTGCCACCATCCTTATACATTTGCATGCAATCTTAGATTGTATCAAATGTTACTCTAAGGGCAATATTATTATCATCAATGGTATAATACCAATTTATCACCTGCCACCTTCCAGCATTATGACATTATCTTCAAGGGTATAATATCAATCCTTCACCAAGGACAACATTATTATCAAAAAAATAAAATAAAGGCAAACAAGCTCAATATAGTCCAACATTATCATCAAATACCAATCAAACAAAGGCAAACAAGCTCATAAAGTCCAAGATACAAGTCTAATTTAAATCAACACCGCCATCATTATCCAACTCTAATTTAAATAATTGTCACACTCTAAGACTCTAAGCTAATAAATCATTCAAGTTATTATCATCAAAGACATTTTGTTCCACATGATCTTCAACTACATCATGATGCATAGGCATGGCATCTTCTCTTTCTTTTCCATCAACCACATTGTCAAACTCAAAATTAGGAATCACCATATCATCTATAGAGGCACCAACAACACCAATGTCATCCTCTCTATAACACCTCGCAATTCTAAAACATATATTAAGATATTAAATATGGATTAAAGGGTAGGATTAGTGAAAATCCTAAAATTAAGGTCAAAATACAAAGGAAGGGTAAAACGATAATTAGCCAAACACGTAACCCTAGGAGAGTGAAATTGAGTAAGAGGTCTCAAATGAGAAAACTAACCCTGAAAATGGATTCAGAATGAAAAATTGAGTGGTTAGCCAAGTTTCTAAAAATTCGGTGAATAGTGTTTTTACCGAATAAAAATATCACGGTACAGTTGCACTGTAAAACGTGCCGATTGAATTTTGAGCTCTAGGTTTGGATAGAAGTTATAAATGGTACATAGGACTAGGAGATATGATTTCTGGTGAAAATTGATGGGAATTAGTGAGTTTGGGGAAGCGTGCCCACGGCGCGCGTAACAGCTTAAAACTGCAATTTCTCCGAATGACCGGAAAACTCCGGATTCATCTGATCAAGGGCAATTAAAGGACAATGATTAATGTTAAAAATTAGAGTTTCTAAATAGTTTATGAGATTATGGACGTTTAGTGGAATCAGAGGGAGATTTGAATTAATTTGAATTGCGTGAGGTGGCAGTGGGACCCACCCCACTTAAGTTAAGTCATGACACATGACCAAGTCCACTATTCATTATCCTTTTCCTCCCTCTCTCTCCTCAAAATCGTGGAGCAACCCCCCACTATTGCCATTTCTCTTCCATTTCTTCTTTCCATCATAACTCCTTCAATACAACCTCAAATCAAGTAAATTTTGTGAGCAAAGTTGTTGGAAATCATCATCCGAACACATCCCACCGATTAGTTTTCTTGAAACCCTCTCATTTGAGAGAAAAGGGCCAAAACTAGCCACGAAAATTGGAGGTTTTTTGAGTTGTTTGTTCAAGTCATTGCTTGGGGATCACTTGGAGGGGTCCTAGGCCAAACTTGTGAGTATATTTCAACACTTTTTATGGCTTGATTCACGAATTTAAATTTTGAAAACCTAGAGCTAAATTGTGTGATTGATGTAGTTAGAGAGCTCAAATGGAAATTTTGTATTAGACAATTGTGGCTTAGAATGATGTTTTAGAGTGATAAATGTCATAAAAATTATTGATGAAATTGAGATTTTAACTTAGTAATTTTTTATTAAGGTTTCATGACTTTGTGATTTGATTGGTTGAATGATTGTGTAATTGAGTTGTGAAACGGTTGTATGAGTTAATAATATGATTGTATGATGTGTGAGAATGTTGAATTGGATTGAATAACCCTTGGTGTAAGGCTATGAGCATTTTGGTCATGTAGGCTAATAGGGAAGTTGATGTTGTAAAATTATGTGGTTGATGTGTTGTGTGGTCAAATGGTATTTGGATGGGTTGTATGTTGAGTGAATGCATTGAAAGTTAAGGAAAAATAATTGGATTGTGTGTGATGTGCATTTGGACCTAGAGTGAAATAATTGGGGAAAATGATGTTGTGATGGTGTAGGATGGAAAGTGGGACCTAAAAGGTGTTGTGGTAGTCTTGGGATGCTAAACAAAAATAAAAAGAAAATAAAGAAAAATATTTTGTAAAATAACACTAAGTTGGCCGAACCTAGCATAGGTGGGGAGGAAATTTTGATGTTTTGTAATCTTGGTGGATTTCACCTTGTATTGATGATCCTTGTGTGATCATCGTAGGTTGCCTCCCACGGATTTGAACTCGGAACCGTAAGCTTCGAGGGTTGCCTTTGGTCCCGGACCAAAGGGATTTTGGTGAGTGGTCTTGAACCTATGCATGAATTTCTTTATAATCATGTATATGCATTGGTGAATGGAAATCGAATTTGTTGGGCAAGTGGCTTCTTACACAGGACGCTTTCGGAACACCTAGAGGGGGGGTGAATAGGTGTTCTAAACTTTTTCAAAAACTTTTTAAATTCAGTAAACAATTACACAATTTTTCTTCAGTCCCTATATGCCCAAAATAATTTTTCACAATGCTAAGAACAATGTAGTAACAGAATGCGTACCTTAGCAATTTATAGAATATAAACGCAACAATGTAATTTTCTTA